TCCCTCTGGTTATCCTAGCGACCTGCACCTGGGTGGTTATCCCGGGTTTCCAAGTAGCAGGCACCTTAGTGTCCTGCTACACTGATAAATGCCAAAAAGTCTCCTGCCCCCTCCCGCACTGCAGAGGGGCGGGAGGGGAGGGTGTTGATCTGCCTCCTCCCCTTCCCCTTCCACCACACTGGACTTAGCAGCTGGAGGCAGCTGCATTGGAATTCAGATCCGTATCAGCCAATATGCCTCCTTAAATATTGGCTATCGGTATCGGCCCCAAAAATCTCTATCAGTGCACCCCTAGTAGATTATGCTTTAATGGTTTGGGGGATTGCTGGGAGCATTTTTATCTACTATAATGGATACAGTGATGCTTAAATTACCTTTTTCCTGTATCATTTTCACTGTTCTCCCACAATATAAAGCTAACATTTGGTTAAGTTCAGTTGAAGTTAAGGTCTACAGAATGCCTGTAGGATTTGGTCAAAACCTTTGGATCTAATTAACACTCAGAGGCTCAATTATCTTTTTTTAACATTCAAGAGGTTCAGGTATCTTTATTTGTTCTTACCAGGTTCCTTTTAGCAATAGACCTGGATATGCCACCTCAGGTCTGTCTTGAAGTTCATTCAGTTTGCATAAAAACCAACACACCCTTGTTCTGTAGTATTTATTACTTGTTAGGCTTTTTTGGTGTTTCATAGAATCATAGAAAATTAGGGTTGGAAGGGACCTCAGGAGGTCATCTAGTCCAACCCCCTGCTCGAGGCAGGACCGTCCCCAGCTAGATCATCCCAGGCAAGGCTTTGTCTAGCCGGGTCTTAAAAAGCCTCCAAGGATGGAAATTCTACCACCTCTCTGGGTAATTTGTTCCAGTGTTTTATTACCCTCCTAGTAAGAAAATTCTTCCTAATATCTAACCTAAACTTCCCTTGCTGCAACTTGAGACTCTTGCTCCTTTTTCTGTCATCTGCTGCCACTTAGAACAGTCTAGTTCTTTCCTCTTTCAAACCCCGCTTCAGGTTCCACACATGCAGAACAGGAGGAACAGTTTTGGAATTGGGGATCAGATACCAGTTGTGCCATTACAACTTGCTTGGGTTCCCCCTGAAGTGGCATGTTGGGCTAGGGTGGAATAAACTAAATGTGTAGAGTGGGTCCGTGTGCTCTAAGCACTAAGCTATTGGTAAAGAAGGGTGGGGAGGTGGCAGCTCATCCTGGTTGTGTTTGGAAGCAGAGCAGCTGGTGCCGCTGCATTTTGTCTAGAGCTGTGCTCTGAGTATGGCTGCTACATTAGGCAAGTGGAGGATCCCTGTCAGGATCCCCACCCTTCTTGGGGGATCCTGACAGGGTCTAGCTGTGACATAGGTACCAAGCTGTTCAACCCTGTCAACCCTGAGCTAATCTACCAAGATGTAGATATCTTTAGGCCCCTAAACATCTTTAACATCAAAACCACAGGTGTCTTTTGCCTTTAGGTGCCTTCAGGGTTAGGCAGAAGCTGAACTGGAGATTCAGAGGATTGCAATTTTGAATTTAGGTCCTTGAATCTTTGTCTGATGTGGACTTAGTTATCTAACCAAATGAAAAGCCATCCTCTTATATTTTGAACCATTTCCCTGGACTGTAAATTTTGCTTTTATGGAAAAATTGGCACATGGCAGAATCTAAGATTATCTATTGGTGGACTGCTTATTTTATGGCTCATCCCTTTTTATGTGTAGTTGTCATATCGTGTTCTTTGATGTGCTTCCTGGAAGCTTCCCTTTTGGCTGGAAAAATACCCAGGAGCAACATTTTACAGAATTATGGTTGTTGATTCAGCAGCATTATGACATTGGCCATGAAAGCACGGATGTCTTTGTAATATGGTCAGAGACTGACTCTTGAAGAATGGAATGGCTAGAATGCTGTCAGAGGACAGCAACTGCTTATGGAGAAAGTGGAGTTTTAATATTAGTAGCACCTAAAACAAGGGTTGATCAGTTTTAACATTTCCTTATTCAGAATAATTGTTCCTGCAAATCTCTTCTTCTGCCAGGTAACCGGCTTTGACAGTGTTGATGATGAGTCCAAACATAGCGGCCACATGTTCTCTGACAAGAGTCCTAGCCCAGATGCCTGGACCAGTGAAAGAAATCCTCCATATAGTTATTATTTGTATTACATGTATGCCAACATCATGTTGCTTAACAACCTTAGAAAGTAAGTACAATACTAATTTCCTTCTGCCCAGTTCTGTGCTTGACTGAGAATAAAACCCAACAATTCTGGCTGCAGTCTAAAACTATGTCCAGATTTTATATTAAAGCCCAGATTTTATATAAAGTATATTAAGGTTTTATATTAACATCAAGAATATTTAGAAAGCTAATTTCAAAATGTTTAGAGTGACCCCTTATATTCTGAAAATACATAAATTACATAAAGAAGTTACATTTAATATTCAAGCTTGTGTGTGGGATCCCTCAAGCAGCAGATGCCATATTTACTTGAATCCAAAATGAGTGTTTCTCCCTCCTGTCACCAGTGCTGGGGTGGGGCAGATACCAGGGTTGGGGGAGAAAATCAAAGCCCAATGCAGTGAGGGAAAGAGTGAGGCTGGGGCTGGGGTAGGCACTGGCCAGCTGGGGTGGGGTGGGCATGGGACAGAGCCACAGCTCATCCGGGGGCACAGGGGAGGGCAGCTCCTGCCACTGTATACGGCTTGTCCAGGACATGTCCAGCAGCTCCTGCTGTTGCT